ACATGAATCTGTGCTCCCAGGTGTTGACATTATGTGGCGGTGTGAGGGTGGCTGCTTGCTGAGTGTCGCTCTCGCGGTGTGTCCACCACCCACCTCGCGGTAAATGGGCAAGATAAGAAAGTGTAGCGCGACGACCCATGTGCCAAGATAGGGTGAGAAGACTGCTATATATCCCTGATATACTTTCCTCTCCCCCAGAGAGAGAGATACACACACAACACTACCGCCAGCGATCGATCATGTCTGGGGCTACCGTGAACTCTGACTTGGGCCAGAAGCCTCAGTCTGCCTTCAGCGCCGTCGTCAGGAAGAGCTTCTCCTCCTTCTCCGTCGACTCCATCTTGAGCGGCGGGGAGTCGAGGACCTCGAGACACTCTGAAGAGGGTCATGAGGACGCCCACAGGGGCGGCGGGCTGGGCTGCCCCAGCACCACGCACTCCACAGATTTCCTCCTGCGCGACGACCGCACTCAGGACCCCTGCAAGAAGGATCGCGACGCCGCGGAGCGCACCTCGCCCGCGTCTCCGGCGTGTGACGACGAGGACAGAGACGAGGACATCCACGTCGACACAGATACGGAAGACGAGAAGGAACGTGAGCGTCTACAAAGCCAGCCTGTGATCCGACCCACGGCCTTGGGGCCCCTACAGGACCCACGTCTCTCAGCGCTGGGACACACGGGGCCCCCACCAACCCACACGCTATTCCCCCCGCACCTACAAGCGGGTCTGTGGCCTTCCCTGCCCCTCCTACACCACCAGCTCTCCCTCAGAGCTCTTGCTAGTAAGTCTACCCTCTCCCCGCTCGTTTTAATAGCGTTTCAGCGCTCTAAGTCAATATTAAGTCACCAGAGAGCTCCAAGTCAACATTAAGTCACCATAAAGTCATGAAACGTAACAGACGACTTATGGCAGAAACTGGATCGCTGTTCACGACGAAAAGCAAATTTTTAAGGGGGCTTCAACTCTAAAAATTATATAATTTTAATTCTGAAAAAAACTCGATGTTAATAATATTTTTTTTAACCCTTGGTAGAAACCCCGAAACCTCTATTTTTTTTTCTACCACTTTGCGGAAACCTCTTATGTGTTTAACTAGGTTTTTTTTTTTTTAAACGCTTACCAAAAGCCTCGAAGTCGCTAACCATGTATTCTTTTACTCTTCGCAGAAACCCCGGAGCCGCCGAGGTTTCACGGGCCGATGAAGGTAACGTTGAGGAAACACAAGCCCAACAGGAAGCCTCGAACTCCCTTCACCACCCAGCAGCTGCTGGCGCTGGAGAAGAAGTTCCGCGAGAAGCAGTACCTGAGCATCGCTGAGCGGGCAGAGTTCTCCGCCTCGCTCAACCTGACGGAGACGCAGGTCAAGATCTGGTTCCAGAACCGCCGCGCCAAGGACAAGCGCCTGAAGGAGTCGGAGATGGAGCGACTTCGCTTGGCTTCGGAGCCGCTGGTTCCGCCAAACCCGTTCCTTCCGCCCGCCTCCCTCCTTCCGCCCTTCCTGCTCAACAGTCCGTTCATCCAGGGCGGTCTCCGCCACCCCCTTGGACCGCCCACTGCACCTCCGCCCACTGCTTCCCCGCCTACTTCGCACTAGCATCCACAGGTCTGTGTCTCCTGGTACCGCTTCTTCTGACACCTTCCCCCGGTACCAGTTTCCCGGTACCACGTCGGTAAGCCAACGCTGCTAGTCACGTCCCGTAAGTCGTGGTAACTGGCATTCCGGCACAAGTGCCTTGATGCAGTCCACGACAGGCACGGCCGGACACTCCAATTCTCCACCCCTCCTCCATCCATAACTCCCGCCCGGGTACGGCGAACCCATTCACGTGTGCTAACCCATCCCACCCGTGCACTTCCCCAACCCCCATCCTTCGTATACTACTGCACCTCATTCTTACTCCAAGCAGAAAAAAATACAACAAAATCCCCTGCATTACCTGTCCTGGATGACCTCAAGACAACCGCACTGAAGGTGGATGAGGGAACTGCACTCATTGATTCACTGGATATGACTGAATAATTGCCCTGTGTGTGTGTGTGTGTGTGTGTGTGTGTGTGTGTGTGTGTGTGTGTGTGTGTGTGTGTGTGTGTGTGTGTGTGTGTGTGTGTGTGTGTGCGTGTTGCAATTACAATTGCCCATTGCAATGCGAGCTGCGTTTATATATAGGCATATGAATGACTCAAAGTGCGTTGTTTATGTATGATCATGATATCCGAGCTGCCTTGCCCATTATGGAAGATATTATGGGTCTATTGCCCTTCTCCCCCCCCCCTCTCATGCCCCAATTTGGTTATGTTATGGCTGTTACTGCCCGGTGTGGTGTGAGTTGCGACTGTTATTGTCCAGTATGGTGTGTGTTGCGACCGTTATTGCCCAGTATGGTGTGTGTTGCGACCGTTGTTGCCCAGTATGGTGTGTGTTGCGACCGTTGTTGCCCAGTATGGTGTGTGTTGCGACTGTTATTGCCCAGTATGGTGTGTGTTGCGACTGTTATTGC